TCGCCTGCGGTGCGACAGGGCAGGAAGTCGTAACTGTCGCCCACATCTCTCTGCACGGGAATCGCGGCAAAAGGTGAGAATTCGCAGTCGCTCGACCGCGAACAGTCTCTCTCTCGTAGGAGAGAATGACTCGTTTTTTTTCTCTTAGCCATTCGTTCGTTCAATGGCGGTGTAACAGGTGATGTGAAGGCTGCGGAATTGAGAAATAGAATTTTGGTATTGACATTTCCTTTTTTTATTTCCTTTTTAATTCTCAACCGTGGGTCTATTTTCCATTCAATCAATCTCTCTAAAATCTTTGAAGTGGAAAATCTAATATTTCACTTTCAAAAATTGATAATTGAGCCACTCTTTTTTAACACTGACTCAATTGTCATTCTTTGTCATTCTCTAGAATTAGATTCAAAGATTTTATGATGAAATAGATAGAAATGGTAAACAATTTTATTTTCTTTATGCATCCGCAAAGTTGAATTATTTTTGTTAAAATATACATTTGTTACAGTATTAATTCTTTTTTATACGAGTTATAAAGAACTATCATTTGAATTCCTTAAATTTCTTATTTAAATTAATTAGTGCCTTTTAATTAATGTAAATTGTTCTACTTTATTTAAGGGATGTCTGTGCTGTATAGGGTTTTAGTCACATCAGTAACTGTTAATTTTGGCGTCAGCTCCGGAGGATTAATTAAAGATTCGACCTATTCGAAGGTACTCGACGATTTATCTACTAACTAAAGAATTAAATACAAAGGTCGGTTAATTGATTCACTATCATTCCTTCCGGCAAAAGTTTTATATTTGTGGTTTTCTTCCTTGCATTTTCTTTTGTGTATATTTTGTAGAAACTTTATTTTTGTCGAATAATTTTTTCAGAAAGTTGACGTTAGAAATATTAACAGATTTTATATAGAAATATATTATTCAGATGAAGAACATACTTCGTGCTTCTTTTCTTTGCCTTTTTTTTCGGTGAATCGATTTATCATTATTTCTCCAAATAGGCAAAATTATATTTATGGCTTCCCACTTGCATTTTTTGTGTTTGTTTTATGTAGAAACACTATTTTTGTCAATTAATTTTTTCAGAAATTTAAAATAACAAAATTTAAATTAACAGATTTTGTCTTAAAAGTAACTAAAATTGGGTATAATTTGATATTATGAGTTTAATCCTCTCTCACAGTTTCGTCCTCTCTCACAGAAATCTACTGGTTAATTAATTACTGAAAGACAGTAATTAAATACTCATTTGGAATATTAAAAGTACCGAACAATAGTGCTTTTAATACTCAAAATAAGTAATTAATTACTATCATACTTTCAGTATTGGCCAGTAGATTTCTCCCTTATAAAAATTTAATATTGGCCAATTAATCACTTATTTTCAATACTAAAAGTACTCTTAACAATACCTTTAATAAAATAAATCCTTAATTGGCCAGTACTAGCATTAAATTTCTGAGGGCTGTAAGGAGTTCGAAAATCTAAAACCAAAGATTCTAAAAACACCTCCGTGCGATCGTAGAGATCTGAGAGCGATTCGCGAACGGAATGATCTCACTCACCCGCCTGGGGAAGTCCATTGTTCTGCGACGTCTCGAAGAACCCGGGGCCCATTTAAACCGCCTCTACCACGCGGACTGCGGAAAGGGACACGCGCGAAGAAGCAGGACGCGCGAGCTCCGTTCGCGTATGATGCGCGGCGGCTAACTGTACACTGCGAAACAACTGATATTCCCCGAGCTGAAAACGAGACCGTATCGGTGCGATGCCGTACAGCCGAGTGTCCGGAAATGGGCCCCGGAACTCCGGCCGGCCAGCCGTGACCGGCAACGGCAGGCGGCCCGGGACGAGGTGCGCGGCCTCATGAATACGTATATATAATACGTGAGCGCGAGCGCGTGTCAGGCCCCGTTGAGATCCTGGCATCCCGCTGCCGTGAGGCACAACGCACACACGTGCACACCTGTTCCGAGGTCCGCTGCCTTTCCAACGTTACCTCGCCACGGATAGATAGATCACGGCGGTTTATTACACGTCCTAGAACACGTAATAGGCCCCTCGCGCCCGTTCCGCTCCTACGTGCGTTAAACCCGCTTCTCGTAAGAATGCAGGAAGCTGGGATAGATCTTGGCAGAATCAATGGGAATCGGATAAGAAACTGTAATCGTGATTGGACAGAGATAGAGGAAGTTGAACAAAAAATGTGTAGAGACAAAGATTTCAAGCAAAAAGAAATCGTTACATTAAATAAGATTCATGAAAGCCACTTGATGGAATTCTATAAAAGTTATATGTATTTGTAAAAGTTAAATACAGACGTTTAGATTCCTTTGTTCGTCTTCAATATAGGGTTAACAAAATAATGAGAATTATTACATGTTGAATGTTACACGCAGATATCAAAATTGATAAAATGTTTGGTGCGTTATTAAGGTGTACATATTTAAACGAAATATGTACTTTTATGGTTTTTAATGATTTTTTATAACCGTGTATTTATAAGTTTTTGAAAAATCTAATATTTTGGAAATATTAGACCCCAATAAATTTAGAGGAGTCGTTTAATTCCCTAAATTTTAAATTGGACTGATATAAAAAATACGGATCTTTTAGAATTTTAGTGGATGTGTTGAAAAATACAGTCTCAAGAATAAATATATGTAAAATTGGAATGAACTCTTTTGTTACTTTTTTTATAGAATTGAAGTTGTTACTTAAGTTACGAAAGATTAAAGTTGCACAAAAGCTTTACAATTATCATATAATATAAATAACGTAACAATATACATACGTATATAGTTAATAGTTAACGTATATTTTTTTTTAACAGAAGAAGATATAAAAAATAATACTCACTTTTTAAAATTTGATATCGCATTATATACGTACAAGACGTAAATATAGATACATATTATTCTTTGTACTATTCTGTCTAATCTCAGCACAGGAGAGAGTCTCTTTTAATCCAGCATCGAGTTTCCTGAAGCCATATAAATTCAGTTCGATCCGGTCCTTGAAACAAAGTGCGCTCGCTGCGCATTTTTCCCTGACAGCTCGAAGGCGGCAAGCGAGGGATGCGAGTCTCGTCGACAAATGTCAGAGGGCTGCCTCCGTCTTACCACCCTTCGACGGCGCGAGGATGGATTGGCGAAACGAGGAATCGGATCAATCGAGCGGTACATCGAGGTAGAGAGACGCTCGTTGTGAACCTCCTTGTAACATACAACGTGCACTTTCTCTTTCCGGACAGTCGAGAACTTGAAGTGGGATGAGAACGATCATCCCGCGGAGAGGACGAAGGATGCTGTCGCTGCTGCAGTTCTGGATCATAACGTTTGCTCCGAAGGAGTTCAGGTTTATTGAAATTAAACATATTCATAAATCAAATTTCTAAAAGCAATTTAATTCTATCTATAACGATTTCATTTAATTATTGTTATTTAGTTTCGATTTTTTAATTAAACCAATTTTATTTTTTACTTTACTTCAATTTTAAATTAAAACGGCCGTACAGATAAATTTTCAATGAATTGACAAATATAAAAAATTTATATAATATATATAATAATGAATTAAGAATTAAAAAATAATAAATATTACATATTATAAATTCTGTACTGGAAAATTAATAAATTAGTAAATATAATTTTTAATTAATTCTTTTGAAATTACGAGCTAATGTACAGTTTTTGTTTTTAATTTTATATCTATCCAAATTAAACACTTTAATATGAAAATAATTGCGTTTTCTTGATGAAACTTTATTTAGGTTGAAATTGGGACTTGCAAGGATATTGGAAATTTCACATCCGCTTTGGAGAGTCTGGAACTTGAGACGACGAATCATTCAGGCTTCAGAACAAATTACATGCAGACGGATTACTTCAATGATTCCGAGCAGGAGGAAACTGTTCCAGTTTTCAAGACGAGAGAAAAATCTACCTTCGAATTGGTAATCCAGGGACCAGAAATCTTAATTTTCCAGGTATGAATACCTTTATTTATTCATAATTTATCCATATCTTGATCTTTCAGAAAACAGATTGATTTTTCAAAATCAATCAAAAAAACTCAATGTTTATGTAAAAATATATTGTCAGAGATATTCAAAAAGAATTAAATAAGTTATTCTCAAGAATATTAAAAAGGTATAGTATATATAATAATGTATAATAAAAAAAATATACAGAACAAGAATTTAAAGTAGTTTTGTATGTTTAATTTTTTATATATAGATTTATTTATTTATTATACATATATTTAATTTAAAAAGCGTATTGTACAGAAAAGAATTAAAAATTAAGGTTCATAGGAAAGGATTGAGAAAAGGATTTATCCTGCAGGGCACTAGGCATTCCCCTGCGGATATCGCACCCTATTGGAAGAAGGATTCTCGGATGTGGCTGTGGAAATCGGTCCGGCTTGCGAGGAAGCTAAAAAGTATCAAAGCAAAGGCTACTCCTGCAAGCACTTTGTATCGCGAGGATCTTTCATAGCGTATATTTTTATCTAACTGTACATACAAATTTTCGAATCGTAATTTTATTTTTTTATATTTCATTTCATTTTAATATTCAAACAATCTCGTGTGAGATGTTCTTTCATTTTTATCGAACCAATCAAATAATAAAAAATAAACATTAAAGGAAACATAAGAAAAACACAAGAAAAAAATATTCATATTTTTGATTTTGGTATAATAATTTAATTCTTTATGATCGTAATGAATCTTAAAATTTGATACAGCAAAAAACATTTTTGTACTTGTATCAAAAGCTTGTTAAAATATTTTTATGTTAAACTTTTAACATATTCAAATGTTAATTTAATATATTACTGTTAATTTTATTCAAGAGATAATTTTTACATAATATTTATATCTCTCTATCTCTTGTGAGTAAATATTTAGGTAAATCACGAAATATGTTAAATTTAATACAAATTTGAAATTTTCTGTGCACGTTAAAAGATTTAATGAAATAATGTTTCAAATTTTACGCTAGACTATCATCGATTTTATTACAGTAATGCGATATACTACACATAATGGCAAAGTTGAGAGTGACATTAATCTATCACTTTTTTTATAAACGTTTGTTCTTAAAGGTATATAAACAATTTAAGAATTTGTATTCACATTCTCTGTCCTTCTTCGATTTCATAATTAAAGTAATATCGTGAAAATTAATATTAATGATAGACAATAAGAAATCAGATATTTACGGACATTGAAATTGACATCAGCCGCAAGTCTGAGCACTCTTTAGTGGCGACTTCTCGTCAAGTTCTTCACCGATCTCAAAACGCGCGAAGTCGACGATTTCAGCTTGCGCTTCCGCTAACAATTGCTGCACAGAAAGACTAGGATCGAGCAGAAATTCCTGATAGATCATGCACTGCTCCTCGTCCATATTATTGTGCGGCTCATCCACCCGCGGGTTACCGATTTTCTGCGGGTCCATGCCTACAAAGAAACAATGTGAATGTCGTCCTTTATTTTTCCAATCTAATTATTCAAAGTGCAGTCCATTTAACGCTACAAATACTTCGAAGTTTGATTGACCAATCAGAAGAAAGAATTTTACTAACTGATCAATAAAAAAATGTTTCAAAGCGTTTATAGTAGGCCTGTCCAATTTGAGCTCCGGAGCCAAAACCCAAAACCATTAACGCAAAAAGGTTCAATTCATAAGATTTCAGAGTAAAGATTTCAGACTAAAGTATTGATAAGCGTCACTCAGATGCGTATCAATACTTTACAGTCTCCGAAATTTTATCCACATTGAATTTTTTTGCTTTGATGGCCTTGCATTTTGGTTCTGGAGCTCAAATTGGACAGGTCTGATTTAGCATTAAGATATATCTCTGTGACAAATGAAACCTACCAATGATATGCTGGCAGAGCTGTGTGCCCAACATATTATCGTTTTCCTCGCACTTAATGGCTACAAGGGCGCCGTATTTGCCGAAGGATATAGGTATGGGATTCATCGGTGCCGGATGTGTGCAGCCGAACAGTGTCACGTCCGGTGATCGTACGCTGATGGCGAGAGCGCGCCTCAGACTGATATTCTCGCCTACGTTGCCGATAGTTAAGGCGGAATGGTCGCTCAGAGACTTGCCATCTGCGGCTGGCAGGTCTTTGAGACTGTCTGCATGGAAAATAATTCGTTGTACTTCGTTCTGAACGTCCTGGGATTTTGCATGGTTCAATACAGCGGAGATCACTGTCTCTGCGAGACTGTGGAACTTTTTGTTCCGTGCGACGAAGTCAGTCTCGCAGTTAATCTCGGTCAGTGCGGCATGATTCCCATCTACTGTCACCGTGATCAGTCCTTGACTGGTGTTGCGGTCTTTCAGCTTGGCTGCCTGGGTCCAGCCGTGCTGCTGCGCCTGTTCTTTCAACCAATTCTCAGCCTGGAGTAAGGAAAAACTAAGAGATTCCGTCGTAAGTCAATTAGAGTCGCAGAACGCATGCTTAAGCAATCGTAGAGCCTTACCTTATTCAAATCATTCTCGTGCAATTCCAGAGCTTTTTTGCAGTTTGCAAATGTGTAACCAGTCTTCTTGCGCAGTTTAGCTAGCAGAGATTTGTTTGTGGCCTGCCAGAGCAGGCCATTTGTGTGAATCAGGCGGAATATCTGAGCCGGAATCATCTACAAAATATATTAAATTAATGCCAATTTCTGAGGTAATAAATAATTTATTATCAATAAAATGTGTTAATTTAATTTTCTTAATGTTACATCCACTAATTATATGGAAAATTGGATTCTGATAAAATAAATTAGTTTCCATGTATGTTGTAATTCATAATATGATGAACAAAAGATGTCAAACATAAATAATGAATCAATAATGGATAGCTTTTTAGCTATCCATTATTGAATCATTATTTATGTTTGACATCTTTCGTTTTATTAGCTTTTTAGCTATGATGTATCAAAGGATCTCTTAATCAAGATAAATTTTATATCTTTAATACATCATAGCTCAAAAATTATCCATTATTGATATCTATCTATGATCATTTTTTGTTCATCACATTGCAGTTATATTCCTACATTTATAAGCACATTTATCCAAGTATTATAAGCACATTTTAACCAAGAGATGTTTTCTGAATGTCCTCAGAATATTTAAAAGATATAGGGACATCTTTAGGATGTTCCTTGCAGATTTATGCTATGTGATTATATAGTGTATTGTGTTCAGTAACAAAAGCAGCTTTGTATTGTTATAAAATTTCTTTAATATAATTGGTCTTGTTCTCAGTGTTCCTTATTCAAACGTATTACCAATCATATTGCAGAATCTTAAAACTTATAAAGCTGTTTTTCTGTTGAACGTAGAGATTTAATTATCCATATGATTATACATGCGGAGTTTTATGGATTATCCTTATTAAGATACACCTGGTATTCATTTTCTTTTCTATACAAGTTACGAGTTTGAACTTTTTGAAATTAATTAGTACCTTTTAACTAATATAAACTAAATGGGCATCACAGATCTAATAGTAAATGTATTATAGATTTTGATATCAGCTCCGAAGGATTAAACAGGAAATATAACTTATAATATGATAAACAAAAGATCATCATAGATATATTATCAATAATGGATAGTTTTTGAGTTATGTCAATCAAAGATGTAAAATTTATTCTCACAGAGATCCTTTGATACGACCAATTCCGTTTGATACAAATGCTGAGTATAGGAAAGAAAATGTGTCACGTAGGAAAAATCAGATCATGTAAATTCTCGAGGAAATCGCGAGGTCACATCGTGACATTTCGCGTCGTTCTGGGTCTCAGGTTATCACGACAATCGAGACGCAGGTGGTTCCTGAAACATAACCTAAAAGAGAGAATCGGAATTGCAGGATTGGAATTGCTTCTCGCTGAAGGGGAGACAGGAAAGAGATGCAAATGCGAGGACTGTCTTCGCTCGCCGATTTCGCGGGATTCGTTAACTCTGCCGAATCGATCGACTACGTTGCCTAGAAACTGCGATCGAGGATGTAGTTTGAGAATTTTCAGATGCGCATGAATGACACGAGGATACGCGTGGCTCGCACAAATGCGGATCAATTTGGCTGTTAATTACGTGAGACGCTAGTCTGCGAATATTCGTGGCAGATCGAGTTGATTTCGCAAATCTAGAACTATTTCGCGGCGATTCAGCGGTACAAAACACTCACCGTGTTTGAAGGTTAGAATACACCACAAATCCGTAATCATTTCTCCATCAAGAGGGCGTTTTCGAGGCCCCTGTCCCCTTTTAGTACTTGGTGAAAATTTTTCATATAATATTTCAGAATTTTTATATAAATTTTAGAATTTTTCAAAATTTTTTAATCTTTAAGAAAATTTCTGAGATTTTTTTATACAAATATTGGAATACTTTTCAGAAATGCCGAGAAAGTACATTTCTTTTTTAATTTTTCATGTATATAAATCTTGAAATATTTTATTTCTAAAAGTTCTCATCCTATAATTTCTCTGTAATATTATAAAATTTGAAAAAGTTTAAGATATTTTTTCAGAAATTTTATAGAATAAGAAATCTTAAAAATCTTAGAGTATTTTAGAATTTATACATAAAAAAAGATATAAACTTTTCTAATATCTCTGAAAAGTGTTCTAATTTGTATAAACATTTTGAGAAAAATTTTCACCAGACATGCTGTCTAAATTTTGTAGAAATATCAATGTAAATATTTTGAAATAATAATTATTGTAATTATAAATTATTTGTATAAGTGTTTAGACTAATAATTATAAATATTGTAGTAATTATAATTATTGTGTATTTTTTATTTAATGTTATTATATATTTTGTTAGAAATATATTTTTAATATAACATAATTTAAAATGACGTATTCTTTTTTAAATATCTATCTACGTTATA